TTATACATTATTTTAATTTAAGATAATTATGTAGAGGACTTAAAAGGTGACTGGTTTTTAAAGCTTATTTCAAACTCGGAGTTTAATAATTATATTAAAGGGTAAGTAAAAGGGACTAATTATTGTGTCTCAATAAAATTTGTATCATAATATTACTTTTTTTATCTTGTTATCCTCAAAATAAGTTAGGATGTCGAATATTAATTTAAAGTAAGTTATTTAAAATAGTAACTAATTTACAATATAAACGAAAAACAATTTGCATTGCCCATTTTGTCGTTTATTAGCCTTTATTATTAAGTTTCTATGCATAAAAGTTGCATTCTAGAATTCCTTCTATGCAACGCACAGGCATGCTCGATGTTAGTAAGTTTTCTTCCTATTATTGTCCGATTATAGTATTTTGTGTGATATAAAAATAAACATGGAACTATTTACGAAAATACAGGGGTAAACTTTAGTAATGAGAATTTTGAAATGCTGCAAACGTCAAGAAGGTACTCGGGTCTTCTGCACAGCATTTAAAGATATTTGTTATCCAATCAAGTTAAGTTTGCACAAATTATTTTGTACCCTTATTCCAATTTTTCTTTTCTAATTAATTTCATTGCAGTTTGCAAGACAATTAAATTAATTTGCTGGTAGACTAGCGAGCAATCAAACGTCATTCCTGTTTATTTTCTTAAGAGTTTTTGGTCTTGGAAACCTTGTTACCTAACTTATCTATTCTATAAATTGTAATGCTTGTATTTTTTATGAAATAGGTTGGCAAACGAATAAACGGATTATTTGATCCGAGATCCGAGGCCGTGGTAGTATCACTTTAGTCGAGCGACCCATTCGTGCTGAAGCTTGGCTCTTCCACACTTGGGTAAACATTTAGGTAGGTTACCTTTTTTAGTCAGGGTAAAATCGTCAAATGACTTCTCCCGCCTAGGGTAAGGCGAGAGAGTATGTGAGTCTCTTACTGACTAAAAACCCCCCTGTTTCTTCTGCTGTTTTGGGCCAAGGCCGCGGTGCCACATTACGCTTACCCCGCAACCCCGGCAACGATGTTATCAATAAAAGCCCAAAAGATTTTTCCTACTCCAGACTCTATGACAAGATTTTTAAAGTCAAATTTACTTTAATCAGTCTACACTACCTTCACAAAACAATGAATTTAACACTACATACTTATTATAATGTAAACATAAGCAACGTAAACTGAAATAAATATTATAGTATTTGACATTAAATTTACTGGCACCGGACACTCAAGTCCAGGACTAAGCAGTCATGTCACGTACCAAGGAAATTAAGCCATTTGTTCCAGAAAGGACTAATGTTTTGGTTGATATTAATTGTTATAATGCGTGTGTGTGTGTGTGTGTTTGGAGAAATGTAAAGGTAGCAGTGAAAACTAGAAAGTGTTAAGGGTTTTTAACACTATTTGTAATTGGATACTTTTTGTAAAGATTATATTATGTCTTGGCGGCCCGGGGGTTAAGACTTCTCAAACCTGGAAAGTACCTATGTGAGTTTTCCGAGTTATAATATGTACTTTCTATGATTATATAGATACCACTGACATACGGTAAAGGAAAGCATCGTGCGGAAATCTGGACTTATAATTTGTAATTGTAAGTTTGAAATCGCCATTCCTCCTTGCATGGCAAATCGTACCGCCTTTAATATAATTAATATTTCATTATATTTAATGTATTTTCAACAAATTATGTAGTTACTATTCAAAAAAATCTTTTTAAAGATACATTTTGTTTTCTTATTTTTTTAACTTTTCCTGTTTATCCTGGAATATTTCAAGTCATGTCGGTCTAACTTTTCTCGAGTTGTATCGACACTAACGACCAATAATTCATTCTTATATACAAGTGAAAAAAATGAATGTTACACGGATTTTCCACAAGTAAAATGGGGGGTTGGTTTACCGCAATACATCGGGTATAACTCCTGAGTTTTTTATAAGATAGGTTGCAGAATTTAGATCTGCATGCTAGCCAAGTTTAAATTTGAAAAAACATTATTCCAAATTTAAATTCTGATAATGTGCAATTGTCATTTGTTTTCTTGTTCTATCAAAATAATAATAACTTTAAAAATATAATACTGATCTTTTAAGTGTGGGAGAGCCATGCTTGATGCTTCGGCACTAAAACGTCGGTTCTACCGGAGTGATACCACGGCCTCACAGAAAACCGACGTGAAACAACTACAGCGTTGTGTTTCGCCATGTAAATAAAGTTACTGGAGGTCCAATCCTTCCCCTACCCCAATCACTCCCCAATCCCCAAATCCCTAGAATCTTAATCCCTAAAAGGTCGGCAGAGCACTCGTAACTCTTTCGTTGTTTCCATGGGCGGCACTAATTGCTTACCATCAGGTAATCCTTCTGCTCGTTTGCCGACATATATTATCTTAGAAACTTAACTAGCTGTAACTTAGGTTATTCTTGAAGGTGGTGATTAAGATATGCTTGAATAAATTTACAATGGTGACGGAAGACATCGTGACGAAAGCTGGACATTTTAATTAAAACCCGTGATATCGTTAACACGCTATGGAGGTGTTTGGCCTGTAAAGGGACAGTGGGTAGACCTAAATTGAAACTTATATTTTTTGCACTTTTACATAATATCTTCTAGATTATTAGATACGTGTTTTATGACTGGCATGAAATATTATTAATGGCAAACCAAGACATTTTTTTTCATCACATTTTAAAATAGTGACAGATTGTTTGAACAAAAAAAAACCAATGTGATGGGCATAAGCTATTTCTGTTTAGTTGATTTGCATTTTGCGTTTTAGATAGAACAGCAAAAAAAACTTGTTAAGTATGGTAAAAAAATGAAACAAAAGTAAATTTTAGAATATTGAAAAAATAATCAGTGAAGTATCAATAGTATGTATTTGTTTTCAGTAAATAACTAAGGTCTTCTGTAATACTTAAAAATATGAATAAAACAGCTTTACAAAAAAATAATTACGAACTATTAATCTTTAATTAATTTCCTTGAACAAATCACAGAGATCCTAAATAAATTGTCCTTTTTACAAAATAAAATTACATTTTCAAAAATATTCCAAAAAAATACGTTCATATATCATCTATTAATAACCCTCCTACGCGTAGCCTATTAAGTTCAAAAAATAAAAGAGAACTTCGGTTTGATGTATAACCGGAAAAATCCAGAATAAATCGCATACCAGCCAATTGTAGGGCAGCAATGGCGTCTAACACACGTGCCTTCGAACGGGCCCTTATCAGATCGTAAGGGGAACTTCGTATCCCCCAAACTAGGTTAATGAAGGACTTTTTATACAGTTTTTTTTTCGTAGTAAATAATGTTTGAAGATGTAAACAGGTCGGTGAAGACGACATTTTTAGGGTTTTGTAATGTCAAAATGAGGTTGAGGTTTCAGGGTAGAATATGTCGAGGTTTCTTATTTTATGTATGATGTAGATGTCTTTTTCGTTAAATGTAGGTATTAAATTGCAAAAATTCTCTAACATTGGCATAAAAATCTTTCAGTAGACACCATTTTCCATGTTATGAAAAGTAAGTATTTTTTTATGCCAATGAAGGCAAAAATATGTAAGATGGAAAGGTCACACAAATCCTATCTATCTTACACGAAACGAACAATTTTGATATTATCAACAAAAAAAAAGAATGTAAAGAAATTTACGAGGACCGTACCGTAAAGAGTAATAACAGAATTGATTACCTTTTTACGGTTGCGGTTCAAAAATCGAATCAAATGCGAAAAAAACGATCGAAATCAGTCTAAAGTCATTCAGTTACCTCAAGTAAGAGACAAAACAGATATTATGTAAGATATCTATAAAAGTCTGTTCAACTTTCGTTAGAAGCCCGTCAGCAATCGATTAAATTCTATAGAACTTGCAATGTCAACCAAGAATACGAATTTGATTGTAGGCCATGATAATTATTGACGAAGCTATTCTTGGGTTTATGTGTTATGTAAATACGCTTTTCGCTTTCCTTTTTTGTTTTGGTATTAGATAACTATTTAAGTTTAATTCGAAATTCACTTTATTCGTAGTAACACAGTCCATATAAAAACAAGTTTTAGTTTTAAGGAAATAAGTTCCCTATTTCTTTGAGCGCTTTTGTTTTTGGAGAGAAATGCTAGGGAATGCAGGATTTTCCCACACTAAAACTACCTTCAAATGGCACCGGGTCCTCGTATAAACTTTTCCATGGGTCTTCACTGTACAACGCCTATAGTAGTACCATAGTATTAGCGTTTAGAACTTGCATAGTGTATTGTATTCTTATCACAAAATTCCGTCTCATTAGTGGAACATTCTTGACGTGTTTTCAACTTTATCTTAAGCGTGAGACTACAGAAATTTTGGCAATACTTGCTACAAGTTTCCATGAAACAGACAAAAGAAAATGTTGAACAAAACAGCTTCGAACTTATTCTAGGAAAACGAATGCGGTATCTTAGTCTCTCGCCAAGGATATTTCAAACTAAGCTGGAGCATTTCCTAGTAAGAAAATCGTCCATGAAGACATTCGTATCGCGAAAACGCAAACGTCGAAATGATCGATGTAATATAATTTGTCACAGCTTATCCCCTTGTCTAAAGAGAGGATTGAAGACGGAAATTTGTCCGGAGAACGTTTCATTTTTATTGATGGCAACACTGGTTTGAATGGAATGCTTAATTTTTGGCGGACAAAATGTCACCCCTTGTAATCAGAGCAGAATAAAATAAGAAATCATTTTTTGAAATTAATTGATAAATGTTTTTATTTCTACGAAATAATCCACGAAATGTAAGATAGATTTGTTGTAGTAAATTCACGAAATACCTTGGCAATGAAGTCGCATAAATTTTGAATTTTGGCACAAATATTCAAGATATAAATGCAGTTACATGTTCAACTAAGACCGGAAAGCCGATATTGTATTCAAACTAAAACTATTTTACTCTATAATTTCTACGTAATAATATTACTTACCGTCCGGCACATACACGTTCAAAAAGAGACAGTCTTCGGAATACTCCTTCTTTCTCTTTTCCTCCAATTGAGAGTCTAACAGTTTCATGAACAGATCATCATGTTTCTTCAATGGGTTTTGCACATCCTCCTTTTTCGGGTCACTCTGCATGCAATCCGGAGCATAAATGGTAGCATTTCTCACACCTTCCCATTGAGGTAAATCCGTGTATTCTGGAGGCAAAAATCTTCTGAACTCGATCGGTGGCTGAGCGTATGGTATTCCAACGTATGCCGCTATTCTTTTCGTCCGAAATCTTGTGATGTACATTCCAGAAATCGTCCCTTGATTCGCTAAAGTTATTTGGCGTGGCTCTCTCGCCGATAAAACTAGAGTCATTTGCAATAACACCACAAAAACACGAATCATTTTTAAAAATTAAATCTAATGTAGATTGAATGTACAGAAACCGCCAACACGGATTAATAAAAACTTGAATTTCGTAATTTTAAAAAACGAAACCGGTGTTCGAACGCTTTGAACTTAAAATGGACGTTCATTTCGATATTTGAAAATTTTTAATTGACGGTTATTTTTTGGTCACTTTATATTTTAGTTTATTAGTTTCGTTATGTTTTTTTACTTATTTTTTAGTTTTGTTATTACTTGGTTCAATCGTACCGGTATTGGTGGGTGTTCGTGTTCGAAGGTGGTGCGTTACTGTTTCTCGTGCAGACTTTGGCTCGTAAACAGTGGGGTTGTCCGTCGTTATAGCGACGAAGGAACTGCTATTGTGAACTTTGTTTGTTTTAGAATTGGTCTTTGTTATATTTCTTTGTGATTAGCTTTGTAAGTGGAGGGTTTTCTGGAATTTCTTACACTAATTTCGTTAATTATTTTTGAGGAATGGGCTTTTGATTGGTTGAATTTTTATCAGTGGGTAATTCTAAATTTTATATTCAGTGTTGGCTATTTACATCCCTTATAGATTTTCAATAATGAGTTACAAAATGAGTTGTTTATTATTTGCTATTGAAAATTCATTTCGTCACTTCACTTTAACACTTACGCTGTAACTTTCTGTTATCGTTTTCTCCTATAAATCAACCAACAAAATAGAGTATAAAATAAATGACTGATGATGACCTTTTCCCCTCACATTTTCCAATCAATCTTCATTATAAACTCGACGAATAGAAATACAAGTATTGCCATGTCTAAATTATTATGAAGGCAACAAATAACTAGTGGTAAGCTTGCGACGCGACGGATCGCGTGACGAAGTAAGGCAGGAGTCATTGCATTGCCACCGTCGACTGGTTTTCGCCTCATCTCAACCTATGTGGGTCATTGCGACTTTATTATTGATCGATATTTTTGTATTTATGTTATGTTTTATCGTCTTTCAGTGATTTCTTGTAGACGTTTTTGTTTTTATATTGAGGTTGGGTTATAGCAGCATTGATTAGTTTGTAATATGGTTATTTGTATGTTTATATTTTACTATGATAAATACTGTTAGTACTAATTTCTAATTGTAAGTTTTAATTTCTATATATTTTGTCCGTTGTGGTTAGCTCGTAACTGGCTAATGTATAAGACTATTTATAGACCCATAACAAATACTTCTAACTACTTTGTAAACAAAAGCTGTGAGCCTACCTTATAATATAAATAAATACATGTGTACCTACATGTTGTGTTACATAAAATAAAATACATTTAGTAGAGTAACAGTATCCATTGTTTCGCTACTAAGCTGACAAAAATTAAAAAAAAATATCAATGGTAACAAATGATATGGCTTTGTCAACACCATATAATTTAGAGTTGTTTTAATTTTGGAGGTGAATATCATCAAATGCCTTCTCCCGCCCAGGGCGGAGGGAGTGTCAGACTTTTCTGACTAAATCTATCCCCCGTTTCTTCTCCTGCTCTTAGGGCTTTAATAGCTTTTAGGGTAGCAATACTGTCTCTGTATTGCGTTAACATATGCTGTGAGTCGAGCGCAATAAGGTATTAGAGCAGGAAAGGAGGGAGTGGTTTTAAGTCAGTAAGAGTCTAACAATCTCTACCAGGACTAGAAATGTAATATGATGATTTTCTTGTTTGCAAATCAAGTTACTGCATATATATTGAAGGACAATAGGTGCATCGCATAAAACATACTTCGTTACAAGATTTCCATTGTTAAATTTATTAGTAATTTTACCTTTCAGATCAGCAGCTAGTTTGAAGAATTCTACGTTCAATGATAAGTTTAAAATCGCCAAGACGCCTTAAAAGCGTGGTGATTAATGTTCATACTTTCTCCGTGTGAGAAGAGGCCTTTGCTAAGCAGTGAGTACTTAAATGCTAATGATGTATTATGCATGTTCTTCAAAGCCAAAGACTGAAGATAGATATATGTATTCATTCCGCATTTATAAATAACAGTATCTGAATATCCAGAATTTTGATAAATTATCTGACAAATTATAAATTTTTATTACGTTGGGAAAGCAGCTGGGTGTGTATTTCGAAGCCAAAATATGGCGTGTGTTTGTTGATTCGTATTCGAAGAACCATTTATAAATTGTGAGGTCATTGACTTTGTGAACTTGTTGGATCCAATTTCAGACAGACTTCGCAACGGGACACAGTCAAGTAAAATCTTGTTAAATAATGCTTAAGTATTTAAAAAAATATATTATTAAAATTTAAATTAATTTTTTAAATATAATGTTTTAATGGTTCAATACTATTCCCATGTGCTAAGGACTTTTTTTATAGAAATACGATACGACGCTATAATTTGATAAACTATTCACTTTATAGAATACTAGCTGTTACCCGCGGCGTCGCTCCCGTCATTTGACTACCTACCCTACCTTACCCAGCCTACCCTACTCTACCTACCCTACTCTACCTACCCTACCTACCCTACCTACCCTACTCTACCTACCCTACCCTACCTACACTACTCTACCTACCCTATTCTACCTATCCTACTCTACCTACCCTACTCTGCCTACCCTGCTCTACCTACCCTACTCTATCTGACCTACTCTACTTTTCCTACTCTACCTACCCTACCCTACTCTACCTACTCTACCTACCCTACTCTTCCTACCCTACTCTACCTAACCTACACTACCTACTCTATCCTATTCTATGTCCTTCTCCCGACTCTAAACTACCTCCATGCCAATTTTCAGCTAAATCGGTTCAGCCGTTCTTGAGTTATAAGTGGTGTAACTAACACGACTTTCTTTTATACTATATATATAGAAAAGATTTACAGGTATAGAAAATACATACATAATGTGTAGACCAACTACGATATGCCCAAAGCTAAAATTAATACATTTAATTTTACATGATCACAGAATATTTAAGACCAAATTATAGAACCTAAAAAGGCATGGTGGCCCATGGGTCTACGGTTTCTAAAATTTCATAGTAACTTTTAACACAGCTTTTTGTGAGACTGTGGTATTAAGCTGTATCATTGTTCAATTCGTTCGATCCAGTAGTTCTGGGTATTTGCGCTTTCAAACAAAAACAAACTTCAACCTCTTCAGATTTAGGATATAAGTTCTCATTGGTCAGCTAGATTGTAACCCCTTACCCCAAAAGGCAGACCTTTTGGGTTTTGGTGGTATAGTGATTGGAAATGAATAGGGGAAGGAGAAGAAATGGGCCTCCGGTTACGTAAGTCACACGGCAAGCCGCGATTTCACTCCGGTCTTCTGTAAGTCTCTCTGGCTTCACCGGAGTAATATCACGCGGTGGAGCCATCCGGTTTATGTAGAATCGTGGCTTTATCACAGTTAATAATTGTTCGAAATGGACAAGTTCAAGACTACGTAGTTATTGCTAACGAAGTGTTCAGCCATTATATAGACTTGACCAATTAAAGTCTCCCCGAGATAAAATAGAAATATAATAAGTAACCGAAAATGTATTTATTCTATTTAAATAAATAAAAGATGAAAACTTTGTTGGTTTTCAATTTCAATATCCAATAAGTAATCAATCATTTTCGTTAATTACTTTTGCGTTGATGAGGTGCAATATTTACTGGTTTCGACTTCGAATTTTAATTCACTACATAGTAAAAAACAAAAGTCGCTTTTTCTGTCCTGCTTATATCCGCTTTACATGACAGTATGATGCAGCGAGTTGGTACGTATCTGAAATGAAACGGAATGGTTTGACTGCTTTGTTGATTAAGTAAGTGTTATGTTAAGTTTGTGTGTTTTGTATAAGTTTTTGAGGTGGCTAATACTATATTTATTTTTTATGGAACTGGGTCAATTGAATTGTCAATTGACAGATGATTATTTTTGACTCCTGCATGCAACGCTAAAACAATGTTTAAGTGCTTTGTCGATCTTTTTGAATTTTGAACCTAATAAATACACACATCAACAGCCTATAAGGGCCTACTGCTGAGCAAAGGCCTCTTCTCCCACAAAGGTTTGAGCATATATCAACACGCTGGCTAAAGGCGGATTGGCGATTTTAACGACGCTTTTATTGGGGTGTCTGGTTCCTAGATGACTTAGAAAGTACCCATGACTCGGAAAATGACTCATTATTAATTGCCAGGTTTTAAACACGTTTCCTCATGGCGATTTTTTTTTTGAGAGTCGCAATCGCATCTCCTTCTGCCGCGACACCTGCTACACCAAATGGGTCACAGGCACGTTGACGTCCTTTTAAGCTCGTTGCTTGAAGGATTGAAGGTCGTACCGGTTCGGATACCGCTGCCGCAAGATAATTCCACAGTTTTGCTGAGCGGGATATAAAGTTTCGTGTAAATCGCACAGTTATTGACTGTCAACTATCTATGTGATGGGGATGAAAACGTTTTCGCGTAGGATGATGATTCGGGCCATCTTGGCCATTTATTATTGGCCAAACGGCCAACCTAATAAATGGCCAAGATGGCTAAGATAATAAATATACAATATATATTGTAGATATTAAATTCATAATTTTAATGACTACTTTGACTTTTTTTTTTTCGTTGAAAAACAAACAAAAAAAGGTAGTAAATCCGAAACGTGTGATGTTATAGTGGTTCCATTTGCATCTGTACTCAAATTTGCATAGATCACTATCGCAGGAGTCCCACATGAGTGTGCTAGGGTCGCCAGTAATTGTTCATTCGTAGGACATACTAATTTTAGATAAGCATTTTTGTAAAAAAACACACGCCTCCTTGGCAAAAAAAACTCCTATATTTATTTTGGCTGGCGTCGTTAGAAAATATGAAGTATATTTTACGTGTACGTGTACGTATTTTTTTTGTTAACAGGGAATATTATTATCTTCAAATGACT